ATTGTATGTACAGCTGCCGAGAGGAAGATCGGAAGACAGTTCTTAATATTTCCTCTTGAGTTCTTGCCAGCGGTCCTCCAGTGGGAGCTAATGCTGGCCAGGGAATTCTGGGAGTTGAAGTCCACACATCTTCAACTTGCCAAGGTTGAGAAACACTGATCTAATATGATGCCAGTTTTCCCGTTTGGGGGAAGTTTAATTGGAGGACCCAAAGTGGAATTTCCCTCCCTGTGTCCCCTCCCATATTCCTTTAAGTGTGTAGAGCAGGCCTAAGTTCTAGAAATCAATACTGGGTTGTGTTAATGAAAAGGAAACTCTACACAACTCCAAACATCCTCTTGGACAGTTTCCTTGGGGTTTCATCTTTCTTCCACGAGTGGCCTGGTGCTCCTCCAAGGAGTGGGCAAGCGCTTTATATTTGGGTCCACACCGAGAGTAATGCAGGCTTTCAGGCGTTCCCATCACGAGGACTAGAATCTCTGATGCCTATTTTTACGGCCACTTGGGTTTTTAGGGTATTATCAGCTGTCATTCGAATTATGCACCGCGTTTCTTTCTTTTCTTTGAAAGTTTTCTTTCAATGCACTGCATTGAAAGTTTAAAATGCAGAAATTAAGAGAGAGGGGTTGGCTCTAAAGGGGCTTTAAAGGATTTCTACAAGACGTGCGCTGATTGGCTCTCCCCGATTATTTTTCCCGTCATTTCAGTCAGGGTGAATTGAGGCAGTGCCTTGCTTCGGTTACGCTCTGAAGTTGGTGTCGTCGTGTAATTTTCTCATTCTTTGTTTTGCTAAGCTGCTTCCCAAGCAGGTGTGTGGTCGTGTAGCTGTGTTACTATTTCATTTTTCCAAAGCTGTGTTTTGTTCCTCTGTGTCCTTCTAACTAGAGTCCAAAGAACTGGTACCAGTACACGCAAATTTTATCCTTCCAGAAGAAAACCAATGTGGTTGAGCTAGAATTTGCGACCTCTCAAGTAGCGCTCAGATCTAATGTTGCTGGGCCTGAAAGTGATCAGGAGGAATCAGATTGATGCATAAGGCAGGTGGGGTGTAACCTCTCTCCGTGCTTCAGCTGAGCTTCAGCATTTGGAGAAGAGCGATACCACAGCAGTACCACAGAACTCAGGGTGGAATGCCAAAAAATAAGATAAAAGCAAGAAAATGCAGTAAAACCCATTCAGACAGCTGGCTTCTTGAGAAAAGCAGAATTGGTCAGATTCAGACATGGCCAAAATAAGATTTTCAAACCACCGGCTTTGGACAGCAAGCTCGAGGGAAACTGAACAGATTCCCCATGTCTCTCTCCCTCTGCAGCCTCCCTGGCTGCTCACCCTTTCCAACCTGAAAAATCCATTGAAGGAGTCCCCCCCCCCAGATCTCCCCTTGGGGTTGAATGGGTGAGCAGCCAGGGAAGTTGTAGACTGGAAAGCAGAAGGGTGAGCAGACAGGGAAGCTGTAGACAGGAAGCAGACAGGAAGCTGTCTGGTCCCCGTCCCTCTGCAGCCTCCCTGTCTGCTCACTGTTCCGAATCTGAAAGAGATCCTTCTGGAAGTTTCCCCTTGAGTGGGAAGCCAGGGAGGCTGAAACAGTTGGAGAGGGGACTGTCCCCCATTTCTGGGTACCTCTGGAGCCTCCTTGGCTGCCCACACTTCCCCCTCTGAATAAGATCCTCCCCTTGTATCTCCTCTTGGGATTAAGGTGAGAAGCCAGGGAGGCTGCAGATGACTGGGAGAGGATGGCCTGTTCTCCATCTCTCTGTCCCTCTGCAGCCTCCCTGGCTGCCTGCACTTCCCCATTAGAAAAAGCCCCCCAGGAAGACTCCCTCCTGAGGTCTCCCCTTGAGACTGAAGGGAAGAATGGGAAGGCTGCGAAGGGCCAGAGAGAGAAATTCACACAGTCCTGACATCACCCCCTTGCTTAAAAGTGCAAGAACACTTCACCCATTTGCAGCTATCCAAAGCTGGCTCTCTTTCCTGCTATTGAGTCAGATCTGGGTCTTCCCCTCTGGCCATTAAAGAAAAAAAAAATTAGGATGAGCCCAACCCTGTTGCAGATCCAAGAACAGCAGCCCTCAACGCCCTTTGGCTTAAAGCCGGCCACCCAGGAGCGCTGCCAGAGGTTGCCATCAGCTTTCTAGGGGAGGTCGTGCCAGGAAAGGCTCCTGCCCAAAATCCACTCAGCTCCTCAGGCCAGCCGCGCTCAGGTTTGGGCTAAGGGTCCCGGGACTCAGCCCTGCCAAGCTGATTTCGGAGGCAGCGGTTGGCAAGCTCTAGCT